ATACTAATTTCGACCGCGTTACATAAGATGGCATGTGATCTTCACCCATCCACAAGTTTCTGTAAATCCAACAAGAGGCGCGAAATATAATACCTTTAAGGAGAGCAGAAAAGTGCAAATCTTTTGAAAACAGCGCGCCAACGCAGGTAGCGCTGCTTCTTTCCATCACGCCTGCGATTCACGCTGGCAGGTAATCTAGACTTCTTTATTCCTTGAGAGTGCCAGTAATACGGGATGATTGTATTAATCTACCCACTTATAGTTAATCACCATTTATGCATTTGTGCGTTGTACCCTGCACACACTTTAAACGTAGAAAAATAGTACATTTATAAAGGGAACGTAATAATACTTACATGTGCATCGCTTTAATACGACTTTCTCCGCCTACACGGAATGCGTATTGCATACGTATATGGCGCACATCCTTTGTGCTGTGCGCCGGTCGTGCCTACCGAAGGCTGTTTATGGACCATCGTTTATCAATGCGCTTATTTATCATATACGTACATATATAGAGGAAAGCACGATTAGAGCAAACTTAAATCACAGTGATTTTTGCAGGTTTCATTTTCCAGCGTTCAGAAAAGAACTCATTTTATTAACTATGAGTATGCACTCCTGCCGCACATAATGGGGAAGCCTTATTTTATTCGATTACTTTTCGCATTGGCATGTCTGACTTAATTTTGTTCCGGGATTCAGCTAAATATTGTTACCATCTCGGCATCTTCGAATGCCGGTTCCGGTGTGGAGCCGATGCAGAGCGCTTTTGCAATAGCCATGGAGGATATGATCATAAAGTATCCGCGATTATATCAGAATCATACCAGAACTAATCTCACTCTTAAGGAAAACGTCTGCAAAGATTATGAATGGACATTTCCTTCGAATGTTTCCTCGTGGTATGGGAAGGGTTATTTTGATAGACCTGGACTTACCATTATACTGACATCAAGTAAGAGTTACTGAAATCATAAACTAGGACTGCGGAAATGGATGTGGTCCTGAATTAAAACGTCTTTCTTGATCTAAAACTTTAACCAGCCGTTGGGCGTCATTAAACCAAAATGTATTCAGCTGTGTGATGTACAGGTAGCCAACGGATACGCAGTCCGATAATTTTTTGCAATTATTCGCAAGTAATTGTACTACTGTATATTCCGATGGCTACATACAATGCATGCCGCGAAATGCACGCAACATTTTTCCGATTAGTTTGAGATTATCGGCACGTTCAGAGCTCGAGTAGTTACCAAATCGTTCAAACTTCAACACGAGCAGTACGGTTTACTGAATTGAAACCGAATCATGGAAAACACCGGAACAAACGCTAAAGTGGAGGTTGCCAACAGAAATTCGCATGTCAAGATTAGTTTATACTGCAAAAAGTAATGTTAATGGCATCTACTGGAAGAGAAATTATTTGCAAAATTATGTATACTGAATAAAAACTATAAGGTAATACAACTGTTGCAAATGCATTCACATTTGGCATACCGTAACCACAATTACTACCATATAACTATATAAATAACGTAACCATACGTTAAAAAATCTGTGGCATACTTATTTCAAACTTTAACGGTGGTACCGCTGCAGATGTAATTAGGTATGCAGTCTGTAGTTTTCTGTACCAATACTAATAATTATTTGTGTTTATGCAATACTTTTCAGTATGCAATCTTGTGGCATCATACACTGGCGATTTTGCTCGAGGTGAGAAAAGCCTATCATTTCCTGGGTTAATACACGTATGTACACATTCTTGTTTTTTGATACGAATACTGAAGTATGTATAATCACTCCATTGATTATCCCGTGATTACACAGTGCTGTCTCTTCAATTTTTTTATATTTTCCCCTGTAGAAATGGCTATTCCAACAATGGCATGGTAAGCTCTGACAATCAACTTTATCGAATAAATTGTCAGTTAACAGTACAATGACCAGATACGTGAACGTACAGTACACATCGTACTGTATACGCCGATATGCTGTACAGTCTGTATATGACATTGCGCTGTCATAGTGCCACCGGCTTTCCTGATAATCCCCGCTACAGCACCGTGATATCGCTGAGCCCGGGATCCATCCAGAATTATGCACAAGCACTGGTGACGCTGATGAAGATGAACAACTGGACATTCATCATTCTGATCCATGACAATCTCACCGGTGTAGTGGAAGCGGGGAGACCCGTGGCCATTACGACCATGTTCCGGCAGGTTTTTAATGCCAATCTCAAGATTGTTAACTGCAAATATTTCACCACAGATTCCGTAACCTCTTCCGTGGACGATCTGCGCTATGTAATGACACAAGCCAGTCAACATTCACGCTGTAAGTTAAGCCATTCAATCAGTCTACTGCAGTATAATCACAAAGGTCATCCTTATAAAGAAGTTGTCGTTACTTTTAGTGATTATAATTAGCACCTTGACGATTCCAATGCGGAAGCTTCTGGTACGGTAAAAACACGTCTTCTGTTTATAACTGAATCAACTGACATAATTCCAAGCGCTTTTAGGCTGCGGCTTACAATTTTAATATGATGAATGGCGATTATGTAAGTTTTTCATCTCAGTAGCGCCTCGATACTCCAGTGCGCAGATAAATGCTGAAGTCAGACTGCTTGGTAGAGTGTGTACCGAGTGAATTCTAAACAAATTTATTACATTAAAATTATAACTGTGCAGGTTTTCTTTTGCATTTACACGTGGCAAGTTCCCGGCGAGGCGCCGTTGACTTGGAATAAAATGATAATCTGGATGCGGTAAACATTAAAAAACCACAATTTTTCTTCTAAGTCACGGCCTATAATTACCGATCTTTCCCGTATTTCTCAGAAAGTACGAGTACTTGCGGTAATGAAGAGTGTCATTATTCTCACTTCGCCTCTGACCAATTGGCCGCGATGGAACGAAACGGGAGTTAGAGTCAACCGATTTCGAGAGAGAACTTTCAACACATCTTACGATGAAGAAAAAATTGTACGTAGGCTGATACTGGTATCTGTATATACCGTACGTGCCTTAAGTTCAAAAGAAAAACCTGCTTTCAGTATAACGACTTCGGCATTACTTGCTACGGTGCAGCAGAACTCATCTCTCAGGTGACAAATCATTTTTTTTAAAGTAGAGACACAATTATTTTTTGTACGAGTTCTAGTTAATAGGTTCTGGATGAGATTTTGACGGAAGACCATATCCCAGACGATGGCAAAGCCTTTACGTATGACGCCAACTTTAGCCCACAACAACTGATCCAGAGAGTATCACATCGCACCAATCAGTTGACTTTCGAGAATATCACTTTCGTTCCGGGTTCTGGATGGCGGGTTCCCGACATCATTCTGCAACAGTTCAATACGACCACCAATAGTTTTGATGTCCGTTACTTCTCCCATTTCAAATATCATTCTCAATATTGACTGTGGCATTTCTGACTGGATATTATTATAGTGTTTGATATCTTATGTAGGATGTGTACTGGTATGATATTCAGCGGTCAAGGTTCTTGCCTGCCTCCAGCAAAAACCGCCCATTAATCTGGCCGTCTGGTGCACCGCCTCGTGATCGATCACGCTGTGGATTGACTGGAGAGAAATGCGTCCAGGTCTCCAGCAGTGTGTTGGTGATAGCAGTCGTTGTTGCAGTGTTGTTAATATTATTAGCACTTGCCGCGACCGTTGGATGCATATGGTAAACATTGACGCTAGCAATAAGTAACTGTTTTACTGGAAATTTTCTTTACATAATTCAATAGGACCTTGCAATTATTAGTATGTTGTATTTGCCTGTAGATGCAATAATTCACCGTGTTGACGTAACTGACAATAATTATGAACTCTGAACACAGGTATCAAAAAAACAAAAACGATGACGATCAGGCATGGTGGCTTATTGAAGATCCCCATAAGGCAGGCGACAGTATGGCTAAAGACTTGGACAACCTCAATTATTCCAAAAAAACTTCTCGATCGCCTCAGCAGATCTTGCTAAGGGATGGGCGTTTGGCGTTGAGCAGCCACTGGAGTGGAATCTCCGGTGGAAACTGGTCATATCCAGAAAGCTCATCAAATACTTAAGCCAAGTAAGTTCTGCAATGCAAAGCTACAGTAATTAAGCAAAGCTAATTAGTCACATCCATAGAAGTACTCGTGCTACTAGTGTTTGTGCTATTATTTGTTAGAGCGCCTAAGAGCGGAGCATCGTTTGTATTGTGTATTGAACATGATGGTTATTACTTACTGTGTGCGTATATCTCAAATTCTGGATTTATTTACCGTTTTTTATCGATGGTCACAGGTGCACAAAGTTCATCATCCAAATGTTGCTTGCATGTTCGGCTTGGGATTTGTAACGAAATTTCCGTACGTTTACTACGAATGGTGTTCCAAGGGATCGGTCGAGAAGCTGCTGAAAACGTTTAATGTCGACCACATATTAAAATTTGGCTTGTTAGAAGGGTTCGGTCAGGTAAATTCTGATGATAAAACAGCTTTATTTCACTGCTAGCATTAGCTGGCTTCGGTCACATAGGGCTTGACCTTTATTCACCACTCCCAGTTCATTGCCACGGGAATCTCAAAATGTCGAAATGTGTTGTGGACGCTCGTTTCATGCTGAAAATAACAGACTATAGTCATGAGAAGTTGTGTAGCTTACTACTCGGAAAGAGATCAAATATCCAGCGAAAACCTCATTCTTCCCAAGTCATCCATGGATGGCACCGGAAGTGCGGAATGGGCAAATGCCAACACAGGACAGTGATGTGTTCGCATTCGCTATCATCATTCACCCGATTCTAATGGAATGCGAGCCATTCGGCGCGGATCTGCCGGAAAAAATTGCCGACAATCGAACCGGTATGTATAGTATAAGTAAATTTTATGTACGGTATAAGTACCGGCATTCGTGTGATATTCGCCATATTTCCAGCGGCGCTTTTACTTTGTTTAATGAATAATTTTGATAAAGCAAAACGATTTAAATAATTCTACAGAAAACTTGCCGGAATTTTTTCTTTCGACGATAACACCGCTGATTCGTGAAGCGTGGAACTCCAATCCAAAAGGCCGGCCAAAATTGCGCAAATTTGACCGAGCCATCCGATTGGCCAGCACGGCTGAAGGCATCCACGGGTCCCTGGTATAACGCATGTTCATACAGCTGGCGAGATATTTCATTAAGCTGGAACGTGATGTTGCCGACCGGACGTCACAGTTGAAATCGGAAAGGGAAAAAGCCGATCAACTACTGCGGGAAATGTTGCCCCAGTAACTGCTTTCATTTTCAATATAGGTAGTTACCATTACTAGTATTATACATCACGATCTGGGATTTTATTTCAGAGAAATCGTGAAAAAGCTGCGGAACGGACTTCCCGTAGTACCTGAGTACCTGGAATCCGTGAGCGTGTATTTCAGTGACATGTGCGGATTTGCTGAGTTCGTGACAACCGTCGCGCCGCCGGATGTCGTGAACTTTTTGCACAGTGTATATTCCGCCTTTGATAAGTCGGTTGCCGGTTTTTCTGTTTACAAGATGGAAACAATTGGAAGCAGTTATATGGTAAGGCAAAGCACTGAACACAGCAAGCGCCGGGCGCTGTGCTTGTTCAATATTAACATAAGTCCGGTTTTCTAACATCTCTAACATGGTGCTAAAGTTAATTTGCTCACTCGTTTGTCCGTTCAACGTAAAGCCTTTCACTTTGACGACGGCATCTCCATCATTGGTGATGTAGGCTTACGTTTCGGCACCCAAGCTAACAAACTGGGTGATGTGCTGTCCTGGCTTTAGTTTGTTGGTCAGGTCGCCCAGAAAAATTTCGGTGAGTGGATCAACAAGTTGTGAAAACCTCTTTGACGACGACACAGTAAAGATTTCAGTCGGTTTGAGACTGGGCGTAAAGATCTGCGAGCCGCATTCACGTGCAAAGTATCACAAGTTCGTAGATGAGTATGGACACCACGGCTTACCCTGCTCCTTTTCCGCTGGAAGACATGCACGCCACGGCGGTTAATAGTATTTTGTGTAGATCGTTAGTGTCAGCCGGCATCGCGAATAAGCTGGAACCCCGGGGCACATCCCACACGTCCGATCGTCGTCCGGATGGGTGCACAACCTTTGCCTGTTGCGTGCTATGTGCCTGGCATGGGACGCGACCTGTGTGGATACCGTTGCAATGTCTCATATGCAATCCACGTCAGTTACCGCAGGAGTTGCAGCTGCTGAGGCCGAGATAAAAAATTACGACTGTAGTCGTACTTGGAGGGTAGATATGTCTTCCCTCCACTAGGTTTCGAAACTCTTGGACCATGGGGGAAGCTAGCCATACTCTTAGTAAAAGAAATCGGCAAACGACTTCAACCACACACGGGTGAACCTCGCTCCCATGAATTTCTCCGCCAACGGTTGTCACTAGAAATTCAGCGGGGCAACGCCGCTTCAGTACTCGGAACAGTGGATGGAGCGGCAGCTTTAAATGAAATTTTGTTGTTGTGATTGCTGTTTCTTTTCAGTCTGTAATGTATGCGCGTTTATGAAATAAAGCACTGTCTCACATCACGAATACTAAGCTTGTCCTCGTATTCTAGTTAATGCCTTATGCCGTTTCGCTGCTCACTCTTATATTACAATAACGTCAGTCGTCAAGTGAAAGTGGATTTTTATTTTATAGAAACCAGCCAACAGATTTGAACTTTAAAATGTTCTGTTAGTAAAAAGAAGCATCTGATTTCTTTTGAAGATATAGAATCTATGGACATAAATTTACCGGTGGTCGCAAACTGCGAGCTGAAACAAACCGCATTTTAAATTTCAAAGCATTTTCAGGAATGTGGCGATTGCTGAGAGAGCCTATCGCATCATCTTATGAAATTAACGGAATTTTAATTGGTCGGTCAAACCGGTCTTGGATCACAGGCGAAGCTCCAGCTATTTCTTACGAGATACAATAGAATACGACGAATTACTAAATGGGACGACGATGGTGTGGATAACTGCACAGCTACCACGGCGATGCAAAAATCATTCTACGAGAAATATGGCAGCAGAGGGTAACAAGCATATTATTGTCACGCATTTTCTTTTAAACATTTTAACTTCGAAAACAGCCGACTAGAGTAATGTGACAAGACTGCAGCGCTCATTTTACAAGTTTACATGCACAAAATTCGTATTTTGTGCAGAAAGGCAGAAAGCATGCCTTCTGCATAGTATGACCAACCTTTCCTACTTTCTCACCCATTGGCCAAAAGGGCCAGGGAAAACATAAAATCTAGTAGGTAGTAAATTACGTAAAACACTACACAGAAACGTCCAAAGTCTGCGAAGACGCAGATTCAAATACAGCATTTGTTGCGGATATTGCGGCATTTAATGGTTTTTGATTGGTCCGCAACAAGACAGTGACAGCCGTAACAAGGTTTGGTACATATTTTGAGCCACTTCTGAATGTGCAGCACATGGATGGGCTGTTGCGTCTAAACCGAGCCTACCGCTTCATGAGGCAGGTACCTGACGACCATCTGGTATCGAAGCAATTTCCAAATTCTCCGATTCGCTGTTGCAATTTTCCGTAGACTTTGTATAGCAATGTACTTTACAATTTTCTTTAGAACCTTAATGTTTTTTTTTAAATCGAAATAATTTTGTTAAAACCCCCTCATTTAGGGTATCAAATGGTACATACATAGATAACCTGGATTCGTGCAGTACTGTGTTCCGGGTAGGTGCGCAAACGCGGTGACCACACCCCCTCTTATACTTTTATTATAAAGGATTAGTGCACAGAAATAAGTATAACTTTTTTCACAGTGAGTCGTACCCGATAGCATATAACTCACTGTAAAAAAATGTGGCAAGTTGACTCGGCAATACAGTACTGCTCGTTGAACCTAAACCTTAACTCTTCCCAGTTCGGCAAACATTGGAGAGTCATCGCAACCTGCCATTCATCCAGCCATTAGCTTGAAAAAAGTCATAAATTGACCATGCAAACGTTATCCACGCGAAGGCGAAGATCGAAGCTAAAAGTATTGAAGAAAACTCTTTCTGAAAAAGCTTCACAGCTGAGGTCATCAGCTGAGATGAAAGAAAATGATAGCTGGTTTCGTTGAAAAATGTTCAGTTTTACTGAATGCAAGCTTAAACGCTCTAATAACACTTCTAACAGTGAATTAAAAACCTGCGATATCGAAAAATGTTTTAACCCACTGACGCCCATTGGTGTTGGGGCGCAACATGGTCTTCAGAATGATTTTCTCAATGACCCACAGAAATTAATCGACATGTCAAAGCGTAATTAGCTTTACGTGACTGCACAGTAGCAATAAAAAAACTAGTCAAGCTTGTATCCTAAGTTACTCAAGAACCACGGGTTCGGGAAAGTCGCTAATTTCGAGTTTTCTGACCTTCCGAAGGTCCTGGCAATTAACTAATTAGTACCTGAGTCAATTAGTCTGAGATTTAATTTAGTAATGTGCAATCAGTAATGCTGCACTAAGAAATGCTTAGCACGGATTCTGAAAGTTAAACAGCAGATGGCCACAGTACATCAAAGTCTCATGCTGCGAGCAGACACCATTGGGCACGCATAGCCCTAAAGTACGGGCGGGCGCCATTTCGACATATAGTTATCATTATGTAAGTCGGATAAGGTCCTGTCAGTTCAGACTTATAACATGCTCCCCGTGGCACCGCTTGCCGAAACTCTTTCAAAAACGATTTCGTTGAGCGGCACCCTTGGCGGTCGGCTATTACCCTTCCGCGAATGAATGGGTGTCCGTTTCCGGCCACTGAAACCTTCAAGATAATCCAGCGTGGTAGTCGATGTTTTATTTTCTATAACCGTGCAGTACCCCTGTGAGCCGGCATGATATTCCTGTAGTCTACCATGCGCACATTGCAATCCACTACAGTTTAGATCAACTTGACAAACGCAGCGGTGAAGACGTGCAGAACCTGAACACGTCAGTGCACTGTGTCGTGGATGATCGCCACTGTAAGAAACATATATCCGGTGGTGACCTTTTGCGACACCGGCATATTACTAAATTCCGACTATGTTGTGTTCCAAGTTGCCTCTACTTCCCAGCTTCATTGCAGTAAACGCAGTTAGGGTTGTGGCCGCAAAGATGCAAAGGCTATGGACGACATTCATGAAAATGAAACATCCATGCTCACGCTTATATTTATAAGCGTGAGCCATGCAGCTCGGCATGCCATAAAGACTAGAAACACCTGTTACGTGAAGGTTCATATGATGCCTAATGGATCTTTTAGGAAAGAAAATTACTGTTATGGATCCTGAAAGAAGGCTACTTTTGCAGTATCTAGTTACTTATCAGTTACTATATCATACGAAAACCGTTTCTTTATTTTTCTGTTTTTGCTGACCAGTGGTCAGTTAAATGATCACTGCAATACCCTCGTTTTGAAGTCCATCTGACGTACTATACGATGAAAGTGTTTGTTTCGGTCAGTCAGTTTTCGCCGAATTATTATACAACTTAGCGTTTTTATGGTTAGGACCGTCTACGCCCAATGGTGTTGCTAAACACCCATGTCACCGTCGGTGACCTATGGTCAGTACGTAATCCCAAAAAATTCCCTTTTTTAATTGAAATTTTTCATCGAGAAATCCCAGTTTTCATGAAGAAACTCCCACCCCTTCGGGCAGTGAGCGTTGGAGGGTTAACCAAGTGTGTAACCCAGCCGAATCAACTCCTATTGATTGTTCTTGGTTTAGTAAATTAAATAAGAAGCCGGTGACTGTTGAACTTAATTCCTCTGATATTAAGGCTTCCGATATCGAAAATATCTTGAGGAAGAAGAGCACTGCTATTGTCAATTTGACAAGCGGCACATGGTCATTAGCTGCGGGGGCGGGCTTAGCAGTTACCACGCCCATGTCTCGTTGGTGGATTGTTCACGCGCCACCATGTATTGCCATATTCGTTAACCATGCAGTATACTCTACGGAATAAGTTAAATCAAGTACTGATATAAAAATTGCAATCATGAATGTTCTTTATTAGCACAAGCCAGTCACAGTGCAAATTTTGTTATTAAAACAAGATTAATTATAACAGGAAAATTTCTCTTAAGTTGTCCGTTACATCCATAGTTCCAAAACGGACACCGCATTTCCCCGTTGAATTTCGATAGACAGACGCTGGCGTAGAAATTCATGTGATCGCGGTTCACCAGTGTGCTGCTGCAGTCGCTTGCCGATTTCCTTCACTAGAGCGGATGCCGACTTTCCCCATGGCCCGAGTGTTTCGAAGGCCAAGGGCGCGAAAATGTATCTGCCGTCAAGGTACGCGTAAAGACTGGTCTTCCTGTCTTCGGCATGGGCAGCGGCGGATCCAGCGGTTGCCGAAGTGGACTTGATGTGCGATGGGGCGACAGTGTCGACGCAAGTGACGTCCCAGGCTAAACACATGCCACGTTTCCAGGCGAACGTCGTGCACCCGTCCGGGCGACGATCGGACGTGTGGGATGTGCCGCGGGGCTCGAGCTTCGCTGGGATACCCGCCGAAACTAATGATCGGCAGACAATACTGTTTAACCCGCCATGGCGAGCGTGTCTACCGGCAGAGAAGGAGCATGACAGCCCGTGGTGGCCATAAACGTCAACTGGTTTGCGGCATTTTGCACATGAGTGTGCTTCACAGATTACTGCGCCCAGCCTTAGACCGACTGAAATCTTTAAAGTATCGTCATCGAGGAGGTTTCCAATGTGTGCCGAAGGCAGCGCATTCAACCAAATGCCGGCTTCTGGTTTAGACTGGGCAAGCAGGCGGGCTCTGTTAATTTCGTCGTCGCGAAAAACGTTCAACAATGTTGACAGCGACGCATTGCAGAGCGGTAGGTCCCATGGTCTCTGAGACTTTTGGAAGTTGAGTTCGGGGGATCTGTCTGGCCACTCTTCACTTTCCACTGTTCCCGTGCAACAGTAGTGTCCACTGCAGCGTGATTGGGAAGAAGCAATGACATTAGCGCAGATGCGGAATGAATCGAAGCCAAGTAGGCTGGGAGAGCTAATTCTTCCGCTCGACGAATGCCAATACCACCTCTGCTCACGGGGAGAGACGCTTGCCGCCAACACGGATAATCATTCTTGTTGGTGCGCACATTGCACAAGGTCTGAAAACACTCGCGCGTAACTTCGTCAAGCTGGTAGAGCTGTTGCGGTTGCTTCCACGCGTTGCAGCACCGTAACATGTACACAATCTTAGGGACGCCAAGGCAATTCTTCAGCAGGAACAACGCGACATGGGCGGGTAGAAGCTGCAGTCGCTCGCATGCCGACTTCAACAGGGTGGATTTCTCAACAATTGCTGGGCCGATAGCATCATCCAAAACTGGCGCGCCTAGTAATGAAAATGTTGACCTAGTTAAAATCCGCAGTTTTGGATGTCTTTCAACAAAATATTCCACGACTTCGTTCTGTTGTTCCACCGT